TTTTTTTTTCAATCTGCTCTAAAAAAATGTAACTTTTCTTTCCAGAGAAATAGACATATTTTTTAATTTTTAATAAGAAAGTTATAACAAAATCAAATTTTTAATCGTTAATTTTAATGATTTAACAAAACTAAAACAATGTTTTTTCTATACTATTCGATTGATTATTTAAAATAATGAAAAGTTGCCTTCGAATTTTTTTTTTACGTTGGTTTCTTAGACAGCTACAAATTTATTTACCTTTTTACCTTCTGAATTTTATTTAGCTCCTACGACACTGGCAAGACAAAGGCAAAAAAATCACGTTCGCTTTGTCGCACCATAGTACCGAAGTCGTGGACATAGTATGCCTATGACAAAGATAGATTATTTCGTTCGCTATTGTCAATGCGCGTGCATCGAAAATGGTGGTGAACATTTTGAACACATGTTGTAGTTTGTTTTGAACTTGTGCGTTTAAAAATTACTGAATTTTGCTTTTTGGTAAGTACCTAAATTATTTTAATACGTATGATTATTTAGACGACGTGAACCTTTGAGTACTTTAATAACATATTTTTCAAATTCATAATTTGATTAAAAGTTAGTTCCTGTTTAATGTTAAAAAAAGTGAATATAAACATTTAATTTTGACCAAAATTCTGTCCCTACCAGTAATAATAATTTTTGTAATTAATTTGTTATAACTTCTAATAACTATTTAAACATTGAAATGAAGATTAAAAATATTTAATATTTTTCATCGCGACTTATTTATAATGTTCAAAATGTCTGCCTTCGGTCTATATCCATAGATTTACCCGTCTTCTTAAACTGATAAACATATTGTGAACCATATACAATCCTGTAATAATATTTTTTAGTACTGATATTTAACATCTTATAAATATTTGCCCGCCTGAGCTGAAAGTTGTCGTAAAGGTTTAGTGGGGCTCGTTGCTAAATGCTCTCGAACATCCTCCAGTTTTTCTTCAGTTAAAACTGACTTTCTTCCAGGTGACTTCTCTTTACAAACATTGCCAGTATTTCTGAATCGTGTCACCAAACGTCGAACATGCTGAGCAAAAATGAGCAGCTTCATGATTTGGAAAGTCTTCCTGGAATAGCAGAAAGCATGAATAGATTGATTGAATACTTCCATCCATTTTCATCTCGTTGGCCATTGCAAAAGTAGGCCTCTATTTAGGAATATTCTTTTATATCGTTTTTTGTAAATTTTAAGCACATTAGTGTATCTATTTTACCAAACACGTGTTGGTTGTTCTTAAATACGTCTAAATCCTTGTAAAAATAAATTAACTTGAAGTTGTTCATTTTTATAGTATCTAAGAAAATAGTACATGAGGGTTAGATTCGGTTTGTACAATTTCAACTATGACAATTTGTTGCGGGTTGCCTAATTATGTGACGACACGCTAAAAAAGTCTATTCTGCCAAAACTAACGGTCCGACAGCGCCTACTCTGTAAACACTTAAAGTACAAGTACAAGTATAATTCACTACTTTTGCGCACAGGGTCAGCTCTACAACTTAAAAAATTACGAAGTAATGAATTTTTTAAAAAACGTTAAATTTTACGATTTTTCCGGGTTTTCTTCGTTTCTAATTATCCGATAGGATCGATCGACCTCTCGTTATTCGTATTTCGATTCTCTACAAATTGTCTCTTTATAGCATTCAGATTGTTTCGCTGGTTTAGGTTTTATAAGTCAAAAACTAAAAAAATGCGTTTTTTGCATAAAAATGTTTATTAAAAATTAATCAATGGCAAATTGGAGTAGAAAACATATAAGCATATTGTGACGTACCTTCGGTCGTAAACCGGTTAGGTGGTTAAACTAAAAACAAAAAAACTTAATCGCCTCAAAGTGACTGTCACTTGCACGGCAGCTCATTTATTGTGGAAGCAAAGGCATGGGTAAGTGTCAAAAAATAATAATTATAGCTTTAAGATGTAACGATGCAAAACTACTAGTGGGCGCCAGTCAACAGGGGTTGACGAGGAGGGGGTAAAATAAGACTTAAAATGGCCAAAATGTTAGTAAATGTATGTATAATTAATATTATTATTATTAAAGTGTATAAATTCTACCATTAGTGTATAAACGACAATTGGACGTATCATGTTACCAACAGATATGAATTCCAAACAGGTAAGTAGGAACTAGTGCGAAATTAATGCAAAAACGCAAAAATAATACATAATAATAGTGTAGATACCCTACATTAATGAATGATTGTTCAAAGATACAACGTAAGATTTAATATTAGAATTGTTAGTATTAAAAAATTTAACTTAGCTGAATCGTTAAAAGTGAAATTTTACAAAAATTCAGCAAATAGAGCAGGTAGGTGAATTATTAATATACTGTATATCATAAATAAAGCTAATGTTAATTTCTATATTACTTAAATTTTAGGGTTTAGTTCCAATTGGATATGGTTAAATAATCATAACCGTTACCTCTCGAACAGTTGTTCCGGGCTTACATATAAATATCTTAATTTTTATTCAGGTTAACAAAAATATAGAAAACAAAGTAATATATGAAATGTCATGAATATTGTTATTAAATCCTTGCGTTCCTTATTAGATAGATTGACAAGAAAAGGCTTTCTACTCACGATGGATTCCCAGCAATGGTTTAACAGCATTACCTTTTGTTTCTTACGGATATATGGTTATCAACACATCTACAGATACGGGCATTTTACATAATGGTGCTCACAGAAGGTACGTAATGTTGTCTAGTACGGTATATGGACCATCTAGGGTAAGTATAAGTGCATCAACCATCCAGGGTGGGAACGAAATGGCGTCTAAAGCGGTATATAATCCATGTAGGGCAATTACATCAGCAATTCGGACAGGCACATGACGCAACTCGCTTCAAATTTGGTGGCCGGCTGACAAGGTGACAAGGGAGGCAACGCCCCGTATACAATAAATTCATGTATTTATGTACCTGTTGTATAGAGACAAAAAAACCTAAAATACGTTAAATAATAAAGAATATATTGTTGCAATTAATGTTCTTACTGACCTTAGATCTTATAAGTAAAGGTTTCGTTAATTGTTAATAACGGCTTTCATACAAATAACCTTTCTATCTTTTCGTGCCTTGCCGGCTTCGCCTATCCTTTTTTTGCCATCATTTTTTTTTTCCGTTCCCACTAAAAACTCTTAGTTCCTCGCCTAATGAATTCGATTACTACTTTATTTCGACGTATTCAGAATTGCCTATACATTGTGACCCTTGATAATTTTAATTTCTAATACCGGTAAATATGAACCGTTACAATATATCTACAGACTGTCTTCTATATGATGGTACAATCCGTTTGCTAATTGCTAGTACTTTTGTCATAATATCACAGATTTAATGCTCTACTGATTGGCCTATAAACAAGTGTGTGTTTTATCGATTATTGTCATTAAATTGAGTAGCGCTACATCTTCCCACTCATTTTTTTGTGTGTGCTGGTGTAATTATACATATATATTCCTTCTTTAAGCATAAACATGTACATAGGTTACTTGCAACCTGTCCACCAAACACAAAATTTAGGGCATTACATAAAAAATCTACCCCACTGCCCACTGCAATGTAACTATAAAATTAATAAAGACTATCGTACTTGTATCACTTTATTTATGTATCTATTTGGTATAAAATATGCAATAATATATCAATATGACGGAAATGGTATAGCTTGACCAAATTCATCGAGCATCAGATGTGCGCGACACTTGCTCTTGTCTTCGTCTCTCCTAGGTAGACTCCCTTCTTCTGCGCATCTGTCGGACAGGATGGATTTGGTCAACTTGTATCTATTTAAACCTTCTCGATCTTCAACCAAATACCTCCAATGGGCGAGGTAATCTTTTCATAAGGATTCATTTTCAAAGGTAACTTAGTCTTCTCGCTTAAGGTAACTTTAAAGTCCTTCAAAATGGATGTCAGTCCGACTTTAGATTGTAGAATTCCAAATCTTTCACCTAAAAATCAATGACTCGATCAATCAATCAGCCCTCGAGGGGGGGGGAGTTCAAATAGAGCGGAGAGATATAAATAGTGTTCAATTTGCAAGTTGGCCAGTCATATTCAAGTCAAGAGGTTTCAAAACATCTTATCTTGATGAGTCCCTATTTGAGAAAAAAAACAGTATTCCTTTCTGGACTCTGATGACTTGGGGTTTAGTAAAATCAGTTTTTTTTACCGCAAGATCTGGCAGCTTGTAAAACCAATGCAGAGGGGTACCTTGCACAGTCACAGCACTTACCAATACACACTCTGGGTCCTTCCCCAAACGGAAGATGGGCGTAGGGATGCCTGGCCTTCTTGTTCTCTACGCTGAACCTGTCGGGGTCAAAAACTTTGGGATTCTTGTAGTGGTCTTCGTCGTAGTGTATACCTGATGCAGGTATAAAGACGATAGTGCCTTTTTCTAAGATAAAATCTTGGCCGGGTATTTTGTAGTCTTCTGCACTTTCTCTTGTCAAAAGTGGAACCGGAGGGTACATCCTGAGGGTTTCTGGAAAAAACAAGGTCATGTTTATTGCCATTTCGATAAGCATCTGTCACTGTCTGTAGACCGTAATCTTCCACTACAGACAGAATAAGCAAGAGAAGCGTTCGTAGCATTTTCAAAGAAACGAATACTATTGCTAATGATGTTTTTTAATACCAAGTAAGAAACGGCGGAAGTCAGCTCTCAAGACCGGCAAAGATATCTCTTATCGAAAACACAAGTACAGTAAATAGAAATGTTGTCTGGGTAAGCGTTCGATGGAGACTCCTCTTGTGGAGTCGCTCGCAGGTATCAGTATCCAGTCCCTGGCACCAATCTGCAGACTTCGCTGGCCCTTTTCCTGGAACCACAGTGTGTGTCCAGCGTTCCAGATTTTCGTCGGTTTCTTGTCGCTTGCAATCGTCAGCTAACCAATATTCTTTAACTGAAGAGTCTCGTATGTCCACAAATTTTGATCCAGTACTTTTTTAAGTGATCATTCAGAACTATCTTGCAGCAACGTGGTTGGAAGAAATTCAATAAAATGACAAAAAAAATAGTTGAAATTTCTAAAAACTGGAGAGGATTTTCACTTTTCTAAACAACTGCCCTTAAAACTCAGCGACCTCATTTAAATTATTCGCTTTTTACTTACCATCGATGACTTGTTTCATATAGACCAACTCGTTCATCGAGTCGTAAGTGACTTTATTGTCGTGTTTTGCGAGGACTGTGCGGATTTCTTCTCTTACTTTGTCCTGGACGGCGGTGTTCCTCGCCAATTCAAAAAGGGCGAAGGTCATGGTAGTGGAGCTGGTCTCGAATCCAGCGATGAAGAAGACGAAGCTTTGCGCTATTATCTCAGGCATGGTCAGGGTGTTGCCGTTTTCTATAAGTTCAAACACATCATTATTATTATTTCATTTACGTATAAGTACATTTTCGAACGAAATATTCTGTTGGGTGTCCTTAACAAGTACAATTTTTTTTTTTGGTTTAATTTCATCCAAAGAAGCTACCCTTCCTTGTATATAAAACGTTTGATAGTACCCTATCACACCTGTAGGCTTCATACCTGTAGCATTGTCATCTTTGGCCTTCATCTCTAGGAGCAGCTGCATGAAGTCGTTGCGCTTGACGCTGTTCTTCTCCCTGTACGAGATGGTGTCATGTACGACCGATGTGTAGAAATCGCAGGCTTGCTTCCTGAACACGCGGAGAGAAAGGGCTCTAGCAGCTTTGGGGAAGCTGATGCAGAAGGCCTCTTTTATTAGTTCCAATGTAGAGGTCTCCAAGACGTTCTTCCCGTAGACCCTGAAAGGAGAATTGGGTTGTTCGAAGCTGTTGCAATCCAGCCCAAACGCGCAGGAACCGATAATGTCCGTAGAGAAACGACCTAGAAGGAAATATCGTTACTATAAGATAAGGTGTTAAAAAAAGTTTAGAAATGTGTTTTTTCACATGTATACAACAGTTCCAAATACATGAGATCTAAAGTGGATGAAATGGCTAAAGCGCGCGGTGTTACTTTCCTTCGATTGCCACCATGCCACTGTGAGCAGAACCCCATTGAACTAATCTAATCTAGATGGATATAAAAACTTACATGCCACAATAAGCAGGCATAAGTTAAGCCCTGAATACAAGAGGTAAAATTATAATAGAATCACTTGTCATACATTTGGAAGCACTTGATGACAGCTTTAGTGACGGTTGCTGTGATAGATACAAAAGTTATTAGTGATTTTATTACTGTTCATAAGATCGTTTCTAGTGCCTCATCGATGGAGTATCTCATTTTTGGAAACGATTGACGTTAAAAGGTGTGGAGTTTAGACTAACCTCCAATTGAAGTTGGTCACTTTAAATCTGGTACATGTATGATAGCGTAGCTTATAGAACTAGTACTATTGATACTTGCATCAATGACGTGCACTTCTTTGTAAGCTTTACTATTATTATATTATTATGACGAAATATTAGCATAGCTTTTCATTTTCCTTACCCAAAATATCCTTAATGTCCACAACTTGCTTTCCCGCAACTTCATCTTTGATATACTTTTCCAGGATCACGCCACAGTCTGCCATTGTCTGGAACATCATCTTCATTTTCCCTGACGTGAAGGTCGGCGTCAGTTTGGCCCTCAAGTTTTTCCATTTCATTCCGGTTATGGCAAATAGATGTGCACCTAAAAATTTTAACTTCTTCAGTCATTCTTAAAAAAGAATCAATGGTCACTGATGATACAAGTAACGAAATAATTATTTCTCTAGAAAACGCATTGGATGAGCGTTGGAAAGAATCGACTGTATACTCAATTTTCGGTGCTTACTTATTGGATCTGCCTTTTCGTTAAAATATATACCCCTGTCCATAAAATTGTTGAAATCTTTCGTCATTATGTTTTTCACCAAATCCATGTCAAGCACCATATATATTGGGACAGCCATTGTATAGAGCCCGCAACCCTTCCAACCTAAAAAAATAGTTCTGTTAATGTGCAGGTCCTTGTAATTACCTCAAGAGGTTGTTCGTGGGGTTATTTTGGACCAAACACTTTTTGACTTAAAATGACTTCAAGAAAAACTTCATTACAGTTACAAATCGGAAGAGGATTTTCTAATGGTATGTAGAAGTTAGAAGTAGTTTCCTTTCGATTTTATTGAGGTGTGTTGTGGTCCTATAGTTCGAGAGATATTCGAGGTTTTCCATACTTTAGTTGTTTGTTATTTGCGTATTAAGGCATGGATGGTATGTAAATCATTGATGAATATCGAGTAGCGGAAAGGCCCCAAATGGGATCCTTGGGGAACTCCGCTAGTTTCAATGAAAATATCTGATAAAAAATTATTGTAAAAGGAATATTGTTTGTGACTAGTTATACAGGGTGTTCCACCTAAAAGGGATGCTTCTGTAACTCTGCAACTGTAAAATTTATAAAAAGATGGTTTTAATGAATGTTGCCTGAAATCAAGTGGGCCATGTATAGAAAATATTTTTAGGTTTACAGGATGTTCCATTTCACGTGTTATTAACTTTGTTATTTTAAATGGAACACCCTGTATATTATTGCATTTTTTAATTCCTTTGTTAATATTACATAGAGTTTATTAAATGTACATGGTATTTAAATCTTACCGTTTTCGAGAGAGAATCAGTTGTTTTTGAAAAAAAATCACAATTTCAGCTCTCTAAATCAGGCTAGATAGTGTCTAAACCGTAATAGTTACAAACCTGCAGCTTTCACAGATCGTTTTGCCATAAATTAAAACGAATTCGGGTTTTAAACGTCTATTCAACATTGATCTGCGTAATTTCTTGAATTGCTACTGTAATGTTCTGCCACATATCTGCCGCGGTAGTTGGTGGTGTAACGTAAACTTTGTTTTTTATAAGTCCCCATAAAAAGAAGTCGCAAATTGTCATATCTGGACACATTGAAGGGCAACTCACTGGTCCCCTGCGCCCAATTCATCTGTTGGGAAAAGTTTCGTGTAAAAACTGACGAACCACAGCGGTATTGTAAGGTGAAGCATCATCATGTTGCATCCACATTCTGCGAAGTGTAGCAATGGGAATGTCGCCTAACAAATCTTCTAGAGTGTTTGTTAAAAAGTTTAAATAAACTACTCCAGTTAGATGCTGGTAAAAAAAGATTGGTCCAATGACATGGTTTCCCAAAACTGCTCACCACACGTTCAAAGACCATCGTTGCCTATGAGTTGTCCCGAATTGGTGGGGATTTACTGTATCATGAAAGTCTACTTTTAGTAGTTCTTGGTGTAACTGGATGTGATAAGGATGTGCCGTACTGTGTTTTTGTAAAATCCTATGTATCGACGTTGTACTAATAGAATTGCAAGGCCTTCTTGACACTGTTACATAGCTACTCTTTCGAACTTTACAAAAGAACCTGATTTTTCTGGAAAACTGTTAGAGATAAGTATGGACATACTTATACAGGGTTCCCTATATTAGACTATGCAGTTTAAAAGTCGAATCAAAACTTTCTGATGAAAGTAAATTAACTTTTTAATGGACTGACATGTAGCTAATTTTATGGGATTTATGACTGAAATAAATAATAATTCAATTTTTAAAGATCATATCTTCCAAATGCCCTCCTTCGACTTCAATGCAATTTTTAATTCTAAGTTTAAAATTTCGCATTACTCGACGACGAAGCAAATCAAACCAATATTACCAAATGATGCTACACCATTAGGATCACATTTTAACAAGTAGGCGCCTGTCTCTAAGCTACGACAAAAGTAAACACTTCATTGTTTTAGTCACAAATGTCACAACTTAATTTAATTTTCATTTTTTAACAATTTTCATTGCGTTATGAATTATTCAATTCAAGAGCGTGTGTTTTCCGTGGAAGTCTACATTAGAACTGGTTCAGTGGAAGAAGTTCGGCGTGCATTTCGACGGCAGTTTGGAAATAATAATAGGGGCGATGCACCAACACGCGTTACAATTTCGGCATGGGTTCGTCATTGGCGTGAAAATGGCTCTGTGCAAAACATTAAAGAACCTGGACGTCCAAGAACGGTGCGTACGCCTGCAAATATTGAACGAGTGAGAGCTGCTTTCACAAGAAGCCCTAAGAGATCTGCTAATCGGCAATCACTTGCCCTAGGAATATCCAAGGGAAGTCTCCACAGAATTCTGCATAAAGATTTAAAATTTCACCCCTATAAATACCAAATGGCGCATCACCTCAGTGATACAGATAAAGAAGCGAGGTTGACATTTTGTCAAGAATTTTTAAATCAGCACCATGGAGGAATACATAATTTGTTAATGAGCGACGAAGCAAATTTTCATTTGGACGGTGTTGTTAACAAGCAAAACTTTAGGTACCGGGGAGCAGAAAATCCTCACGAACTGTTTACCAAAAACCTCCACAGTCTAAAAGTCGTTGTGTGGTGTGGTGTAGCATCATTTGGAATTATCGGTCCTTATTTTTTTGAGGATGAAAATAACCGTCCTGTTACAGTTAATTCCGAGCGCTACATAAACATGTTGCAAACGTTTCTTATCCCCGAACTAACTAGACGGGGACTACTAAATGGTGCCATATTATTCCAACAAGATGGAGCTACAGCTCACACAGCCAGAAACACTATGAGGATTTTGCGAGATTTTTTTGAATTGGCCCCCGAGATCTCCCGATTTAACGGCCCCAGATTTTTTTCTCTGGGAATACCTGAAGCAAAAAGTTTATGCAAGTCGTCCAGCAACAATTCTGGAGTTGAAAGAGCAGATTCAAAATAAAATTGCAGAAATAAATGGAGATTTGCTGCGTTGAGTGATGCTAAATTTTGAACTTTGAATTCAAAATTGCATTGAAGTCGAAGGAGGGCATTTGGAAGATATGATCTTTAAAAATTGACTTATTATTTATTTTCGTTGTAAATCCCATAAAATTAGCTACATATTAGTCCATAAAAAAGTTAATTTACTTTGATCAGAAAGTTTTTATTCGACTTTTAAACTGCATAGTCTAATATGGGGAACCCTGTATAAGTCGAAAGGGCATTCAATTTTGCATTCACTCAGGACAATAATTAATAAGGGTCATTCCATTTGAAAAAAAAAAGTTTTTCAACTCGTAAGATTATAAAATGTAGGTCTCAGTATTTCCGAGTCTGAATAACGTACACGGTTTATTCATAGATGACAAGATGTAGTAATTTATGCCAAAACGAACTGTGAAAACTGCAAGTTTTTAACTCTTACGGTTTAGAGCTATCTAACATCATTTAGAGAGCTGAAATCGTGAGTTTTCTCAAAAACAACTGATTATCTTGAAAACGGTAAGTTTTAAACAACATATACATTTAATAATAGTTTGTTGCTTTTTTATTTTGTTCTTAATATTTGCGTTATTTGTAAGTTTGTACTATTTAATTCTTTTTCTCTATTTTTTCATAGTTAATTTTTTTCTCTTTTAACTTTTTTTATATTTTATTACTAGGCGTAACATATCCTGTTATTGGGCATCGCCTGTTGAATGTGTATTTTATATAAATAAATAATAAACCCTACCTAATATTAACCAAGGAATTGAAAAACGCAATAATATACAGGGAGTTCCCTTTAAAATCGCAAAGCTACGTAGCGCCCTCGCGAAATGGAACACCCTGTAAAGTATTTTGAGTAAGAAAACAAATTAAAACAGTGTGCATTAATTCTGCATTGCTATGCACAAGGCCGTCTTGAATACTTGTAAGTTTAATATAAACAATAAGCCACAGTAATAAGAGTACCATAAAACCACAATAGAAATATTTGCATAATCTAATAAAATTTTAAAATTTAAAGTAATTGTTTCAATGGAATTTGAAACATATTTTTGTATTATCGACACTAGTGTGTATACAAACCTCTCGCCTTGGCTTCTTTGTACAACAGAGCAATATGCTCTCCCATGCTCAATTGGCTTGTCAATGGGTTGGGAAAGTTCCCGAACGGTATTTTGGGCACGAAATATGGGAGACCTTTCCTCTTCCAGTACTGGTACTTCCATTTGAAGTAAGCGTAGACGACAACTGTCAGCGTCACGAAGAACACCAGCGCATCGTAGGCGATGGAGTTTGTGAAGAGAACCATTGCCCTCCTGAAAAATAAGAAGAATCGATTTGTAGTATTAAGAATGCATTGTATAATTTTTTTTTAATGAAAGCGTATATTAAAGTTGATAGTTTTCATTGAGTAGTAATAAACGTTGTAAGAGTGAAGATAAAGAAACTCCACACTCAACCGGTAGCACGAATATGATACTTAACACTTATTTAGTGTCTGGTTTTACGTCAACAGAAATCTGTGGTGAAAGAAGCCACAGTGTGTACTGTGTATGAAAGTTTTGGTACCGCATGGTGCCAAATAAACTGAAGCACAATTTTGGAAAACATTCAGTAGTACATGTAAACAAACCTCGTGATTTCTTTTCCGGAAAGTTGAAAGAACTAAGACAACAAAGTAGTACGTTTCTGATGAATCAAAGGAATTGGGTTGCTGCTGGCTGAAGCCTCGGAACAAATAAGGATGCTCATTCGATAAACTATGTAAAATTTATATGTGGTAATGACATTGCAGAAAACCTCTTTCGCAAAATTGTCACTGCAAGTCAAGAGTCTCTGGATTTGCTCGGGATCCTTGATACTTTTATACCAGAAAATAATTTGCATTGGACTAAGTGCGACTTATTCGAAGCAAAGCAGCTGATGCACACTGAGGCAAGTTCCGGTTCATTCTATAAAATTTGAAATGAGGTTTGAGTTACACTAAGTGAGTTCTAATCTCCTACAAATAGTAGCTCACTAGTCCCAACTGAATAAATTTCAAGAAAGTACAGGGTGCCCCAAAGTTCCCGTCTCGGGCCCATAACAGACAAACGAAAAACGATAGTAAAAATCTGTTTAGATGGCGTGAATCGAGCCTCGCTAAGGTCCGTTTTGCACTTTGCGAAAATAAAAAAATTACGTCAGCAACTTTTATTTCCACGAACATACCCATTTTTTATGATAACTATCTATTTTCTGTGAACATTGTTTGTGCAGAAATTTTTTCTGTCTCTTCTTAAAAAGTTACACTAGTAAACATTATACAAAAATGTATCCCATTGTATTGGAATTAGTCATGATTTAATCAACATTGCTGTGAAACAATGGCTGACTCTGCTGTCACAAGTCTGTTTACATATTAGTTTCTGTCAAACGCTATTTCCTGCATGATAAAGAAACTAGTAACTGGTTGTTAAAAATAAAAAAAATGTTCACAAACAATAAAAAGTTGACATGATTTTAATTTATGGTGAATGTCAAAAAAATGCCAGAAGAGCTGCTAACTTATATCATGAGAGATATCCAAAACATCAAGTTGTTAACTCAAAAATATTTGCCAGATTAGAACGAATTTTGCGTACTAACGAAATGCATTAGGAAGTTCTAACCAGTGTACATTATTTTTAGAAAATATAATTGTACATTAGAAATTGGAGCCCGAATGGTAAAAAACCTAACCTTAAAAAAATTTGAACATAGGAATGTAGCATAACTAGCCTCTGGAGATTTTCGTAAAAATTCTATTTAAAATTTTTTTATTTTGTCTCTCTGTATCTCGAAAATAAGAGGAGATAGACATATAGTTATTTATAAGACAAACAATTCTTATTTTTGTCGTACTATGACCCCTGTATTTAGGGAGGTCTTTCTGAAACACTCTGTATGCAATAACATACTATAACCTTAACTATTTTTTATCTATCTATTATTGTATCTGTCTATTTATTTTCTAATTTTAATATTTACTCAACGCTCAGGTAGGATGTTTGTGTAGTACTTTATTGAATACCAATGACCTTCTCACATTATTCGTCAACTTGTAATTTTATTGCTAAAATTGTTTAGATATCATCGAGGCGATAAAACCAAGATAAAAACAGTAATCTTTCAAAAAATCTAGTATAATATCAATGATCGCAAAATAGTATTATCATACGCACTTATCGCAGCTACACGCATTTGAAATAATGGTAGGAAATTTTAAAATTCACAGGGAACATGGAGAATTATTACAGCTTATTACAGTTTTAAGGGAGTTTAGGCAGTTCACAGTTACTGGAGAACTCAGTCGATACCATCAGAACTAAGAACACGTACCGCAAAAAGAGACGGTTTGTTAATAAAACGACAACTTATTGGAAAACAGCAAATTCAAATGAACAGATTTCATAAAACATGCTTAGCAGAGTGCGCATAGTTTTCAGTCTACAGAGTGTAAAATAAACAGGGACCTTTTTAAAAATTTTGCGTTTGGACATCGTAGACGATAAAATTAAGAATGAGTAAAAATTGTGGTGTACAGCGTTTTACATGAACAAATATTTCTTAAAGTAGTAATTTAGGTTCTCTAAAAACATCAATAAATATGTAATCTTGCTGAATAAATTTAAAAAATAAAGTGCCTTCTAACAATTCAGTCAATATATTGTGTAACAGTTATCACAAAGAACTGTTTATTTGAGAATTTCGTTAATGTTATATAACAAGAGAATTCAATCCGGCGAGTGGAATAAAAACTGCTATTTTGAATTTTGTAATTTTGACTTGAGGTTCGTAATCAGCGACCTCGAAAACTTACAGAACCGTTGGGAATTTATGTGTTTGATAGAGAAAGATTTAAGATGGATTTTGAAGAAGAGTAGTACTTTAAGCCACTATACTGCCAAATAAAATATCTTTAGGTCATCTGGGTGTAATCTTGTGACAAAACTAAAACCTGTACAAGCAGCAATTCAATATGACTTCCTTGAGGACGTAATATTGCTTATTGCAATGCTACTATTTCATAATTACAATGAACTAGGATTGATGATACACCTTGATTATTCCAAGGATACACACCAAAACCCTGAAGCTTATCAAAAGAGTATCATGGCGAATATGTCAAAAATTTAAAGAGGTAAAAAAGGAGCAAAAACTGAGTTAAAAAAAACTATTTTCAATGAAAATAGTTCAAATATGGACTTACCAAGCAGTTCTACACGCGTGCACAATTAATTTGTTGTTTGCATGTGTTGTTGTTTATCATATCTAATTTCTGACCAGAGACTATTTTTTTAAATAAATTACATATTGTCATTCTATCATTAAGAAAATTGTATACCACTCAGGAAATAGTATAAAGGTTCACCTTAATTTACCTTATCGAGACAAAGGTTTTGTACAGGGTGAGTCTGGTAAAAAAAATTAACATGTCACTTTGGCATTTCAAGAATTTGTCAGACTTCAAAATAGTACATTGTTATATTTGAAATTGAAGATCAGCCTCATTTCGACTTCAAATTTAATTCATTTCACACCGGAACAACCTTCATTCTCAAATTCCTAAACCGTCTAGATTAAATATTGGCAAAAATTCGACTCGCTTCCTAATAACGGTGACGGAGCAACTTTCACATTGTTTGCAATCAATTGGCCTCAAATTTTAATTGTCATGCTGACCAATTTACAAATTTCTAAATAAAGTAGCACTTTTATTATCTGTGTATTTACTTGAGCAATTATCAACGTATATAATAAATAGCTAACAATCACACTGAATCAGCACAAAATTGTCATCATTGCTGTCGCAATATACGTTGTGACAGTATGTCACCGAATTTGAGTGTTTTGTTGCTTGCAATCTTTTACGCACAATGCGTTATCCTTTTTTAAAAATATGTTTATTATTATCTCTCATATTTTTAGTTTATTTATCAAACATTGTATTAAAAATGTCATCACATGAAGTCATATTGCCNACACGCGTGCACAACTAATTTGTTGTTTGCATGTGTTGTTGTTTATCATATCTAATTTCTGACCAAAGACTATTTTTTTAAATAAATTACATATTGTCATTCTATCATTAAGAAAATTGTATACCACTCAGGAAATAGTATAAAGGTTCACCTTAATTTACCTTATCGAGACAAAGGTTTTGTACAGGGTGAGTCTGGTAAAAAAAATTAACATGTCACTTTGGCATTTCAGGAATTTGTCAGACTTCAAAATAGTACATTGTTATATTTGAAATTGTATATTATTTAGGACAAAAATCATATCAAAATTTACGCAAGATTTGAATTTTGCACCATTCGTGCGGCACAGTGTTGCCAACGAAAAAGATGACAGCATGACAGTTCGTGAGAGTGTTGCTGAGATTCCAGGAACAATAATTTAGATGAATTTTCCAAATATCCCGTGGCGTCGAATATTTAGGATTTTAAGTAGCAGTTACTTCATTGAATTCGAATTCAGTGAACTTTTATCTTTTATAAGATAAATTATTATTAGTATAAATTCTGCATCAAACATCGTCAGAGGTGTTCTGGAAAAGGCAATTTTTTCAAATTAAAATTATGTAACCGTTTTCGTTTAAAAGCATCCCTTAATGTTCAACGTTTTTATTAAAACCTTATATTATTTATATTCTGTTTTTTTTGGGTGTTTTTTTTTCATTTTTTTCCGGGAGGAAACTGTTTGACCAATTATCTTTAAATAAATGAGTCCGTGGCTACTACAATGGCAATATAAAAAATGGACAGTTTGAACTATGAGATATTTTCAATATCTATTGCCAATAGCTTGTCCACCCTGTACATAAAAAACATCCTGTCATAATTAAGAAGATCCGCCTCATTTCGACTTCAAATTTAATTCATTTCACACCGGAACAACCTTCATTCTCAAATTCCTAAACCGTCTAGATTAAATATTGGCAAAAATTCGACTCGCTTCCTAATAACGGTGACGGAGCAACTTTCACATTGTTTGCAATCAATTGGCCTCAAATTTTAATTGTCATGCTGACCAATTTACAAATTTCTAAATAAAGTAGCACTTTTATTATCTGTGTATTTACTTGAGCAATTATCAACGTATATAATAAATAGCTAACAATCACACTGAATCAGCACAAAATTGTCATCATTGCTGTCGCAATATACGTTGTGACAGTATGTCACCGAATTTGAGTGTTTTGTTGCTTGCAATCTTTTACGCACAATGCGTTATCCTTTTTTAAAAATATGTTTATTATTATCTCTCATATTTTTAGTTTATTTATCAAACATTGTATTAAAAATGTCGTCACATGGGTCATATTGTCATGGTTTTTATCGTGACGAGTTTGGAGGAATTTTTCACCTATTTCGCATCATTTTATCGGAAAATTATTATATACGTTTTATAGTATTATAATTCTACTTTTAAAGTTCGGCTGAAAAATTAAAATCAGATCACTTCCAACCCATCCAGAAATTTTGCAAAATAGTTTACCGAAAAATTCAAATTGCAATTGTGCAACTAATAATAATAACCCGACAGCGTCTGCTTTGTGCACACTTAAAGTACAAATAATTCACTACTTTTGAGCACAGGCTCAGCTCTACAACGCTGGGAAAAGTTTATGAATAGGGTAAGGGAGTACTTTGAAGGAGGCAATAATGCATAAAATTGATAAAAGAAGCTTTAAAAAATTAAGTTCGATTATTTTCTGTACAAGCCTCGTATAGATAGATAGATTTTATTGATCCCTTGTTGCCAATTACACTTATTAGAATTTATCTTTTACACTTTTACACTAAAACTTATAGACGCTTACGTAATAAAATGACATTGTTTACAAAAACAGTTTAAACGACATTTTGCCGTTATCAAAATAATGGTAAAAATAGGCAGATCAAACGGTTCAATCAATGGAATAGATACAATGTATGCTAAGAAATAACTTTAATTTCTTCTTAGATTTTAGCAGAAGTAAATCTTCCATACACCTGGACAGTCTATTGTACGAATAACTACCACCATAGGTAGGAGATTTTTTTATAAAGCGTTAGATTTCTTTTCCCCCTACAAATATTTTATTAGTTACGAGTAGCATACGTAGGATTTTAGGAATGTAACTTTAGTTTGTTTTTAATGGCGTGATTACAAATTTGAAACACCCTGTATGTACGTATATACAGCCAGTCCCAAAAAACTCGTACCCACGATAACTTGTCAGGATTTGAGTCTAATAAAAAAAATTGTTTCAGAAATAAAGGACCAGTGATATTGGGTGTGACCTTGATATTAACTTTCAAGGTCAAATCTAGACCAACCTGAAAATACTGCACATCCTAGAAAAAATCTATGATCGCAGATTCCGACATAAAATTTGGCGTCGTATTGGTTGCTAACATAAAATAATAGCGTATTCCATTTGATATTAAGTTGACCTTAGTTTGACCTTGCAACTTGTGGTGAATGTCAAATTCAAGGCCATGATCGAATTTATCATTCAAAATCCTACAAATTTTGCTTGTAACATTTCCCTCCACAAATCGATTTTGTCAAGCTATTCACAGAAACAAGAGACGACCCCATATTTCGCAGTGAATGGCATTCTATCGATTGCTAACATAAGTAAATAGGGTATTCCATTTAATATTTTCAAGGTGACCTTGGTTTGGCCTTGAAACTTAAGGTCAAAGTCAAATCGAAGGTATCTTGGTTTCTTAATATGCCACAACTTTTATTTGATTTTTTTTACATATTTCATTTTGGGACACCCTGTATGTAGATTGATGAGTGCGTAGTTTATGTTTTCTAAAAGTAATTCTACAGGATATAGAGCGTCTAGTTCTAAAATTACTCGCTCTTATCTTGTGAAGGTTTTCTTTAAGTCTGAGCTTTGACCCCCAGACTATTATAATGTTATAACAACACAATTTAGAGTAGAATAATACATAGTACACGTGTCTCCGAGAGCGTCGATCTAGTCCTTTTTTGCGTTTCTGGTCATGGCCAACTTGACAACAAGTCTGATACGAGAAAATGTGTCCAAAAAATAGAAAATTGCAAATATCTCTAAAAGTAGTAATGGCAACCCTAACAATGATTATACGACTTGAATGGAAATTTCAATCTGCATATGACAAAGTAAAAATACAGGGTGTTCCATTTAAGTTAAAAAAAGTTATAGCTGTTTGAAGTTATCAAAACATAACAGCAAAAATGAAACATTTAGTATTAAATATTTTAATTTGTTGGTATACCATAATGTACCGTTACCCATGCCCTCTACAGCTACCAGAAATCCGCTTGATATCACGCTCCTGAAAAGAGTTACTATAGTCTGTTTAGAAATGAAAGAGAGTAATAAAAGCTTATTATGTATGCAAATCGTAAATAAATGTAGTACTGGTGCTTATATTCAATATTTTTATATTATGCATTATCGGTATAGATGAGGTGTACTTTTTTTGTGTGACCGGGTTGAACTAAATTGTAGCAGGTAGCTAAAATTTAATCCCCGACAATCCGTCTTTGTCTATGCCGCTTCAATTTCTCGGTCCATTTCTCTTATAAGTAAACAATATAAAAACAGCATTTCAAAACATGAGGCTACTTTAAGCATCATAACCGGGTTAAGAGGGTTTTTAGTAATTCAAATAAAATTATTCAATATTATTATCAAAATATTTATTTAAATTTAATGAATAGACTTTTATTCCACACAAAAATATATGTATTTTGAAAATTCAAATTATGGTGAGTAAATGTAGTGTTGTATAAATGTACAATAAAGAAAATAAAAAAGTAGGTATATTAAAATTCATCCTCTGAATATTCTGATGAATTATCTTCGTCTCCTAGATTGATAACGATAGGTTCCACAGTAACGTCAATTAAATTATCGAGTTCCCACATTTTCTCCTCTTCTTTTTGTACATGATGTATACATCTTTGCCAGTTATCTGCAGTTACTCGTTCCAAGGAATTTTTTAACAAAATTTTCACGTCACTTAATTTAAACGTCGTATTATTTCGCGCTACATCTCCTTTTACCTGCGCCCAGACTAATTCGATTGGGTTAAGTTCACAGTGATAAGGTGGTAACCGTAGTACCGTTATTTGGCGATTTGTTGCCATTTCATCGATAACATATTTTTTCTGATCTTTATTAAGATTGACAAGTGTCAAAAGTTCCTTTTTCACCATATTTGTTTCAAAAGAAATGTTTTTTCCGGATAACCATTGAATTATATCG